TTCCCCTTTACAGTGCAAGGGGAACTCTGATGCAAAAGGGAACACTGCAGATCATGATGTAAGAGGGAATGCTGCAGACTTTGGGTTAAAGGGGACCACCTTCCGCAGAGTGAATACACTAAGGTAAGGGGGGTTACTGATATAAGGGGGAACCTATATTTCAGTGGCCCCCCTTACATTACTGTAATTACTCCCCCCTTACATCAGTGACCCCCCCCCCAGACTGGCCTTGCAACACTGCCACTGACCTCCTCACAGGTACACTGTGCAGGGCTCAGTCAGCCGGTCCTCTCCGGGGGTCAGGGGCGGACTGACAACTCATGGGGCCCCCGGCAATAGGGGATCATGGAGCCCCTGTGTCCTCGCCCAAACTCAAAAGAGCCTATGAAAAAGGTACCAGGGGCATCTCATGGGGCCCCCTACTGACCCCGGGCCCTCGGGCAGTGCCCGAGTTTCCGAATGGTCAGTCCGCCCCTGGATGAGGTCCAGCTTGGAGGCTCTGGTTTCATCCTATAGTCACCTTTCCACATTCCACACATGTCTGACTCCTCCCGTGACCCCCATTTTGGGTGTGGTCCCGCTCTTGATTCCTCTCCAGGCTCCCCCTCAGAGACTGCAGACATGATACAAGGCAAGAAATGGTCAGAGATTGTGGACATGATACAGAAGATGGTTAGAGACTGCAGACATGATACAAGGAGATAGTCAGAGATTGCAGACATGATGCAAGAGATGGTTAAAGGCTGCAGACAGAATATAGGAGATGATTAAAGGCTGTGGACATGATACAGGAGATGGTTAAAGGCTGTGGACATGATACAGGAGATGGTTAGAGGTTGCGGACATGATACAAGAGACTTTTTAACAGCTGCAGACAAGATACAGGAGACGGTTTGAGGCTGAAGACAGGATACAGGAGATGGTTGGAGGTTGAGGACATGATACAGGAGATGGTTAGAGGCTGTGAACAAGATGCAGAAGATGGTTAGAGGCTGTGGACAGGATGCAGGAGATGGTTAGAGCCTGCGGTCATGGTACAGGTGATGGATAGAAGCAGCGGACATGGTACAAGAGATGGTTAGAGGCTGCGGCCAGGATACAAGAGATGGTTAAAGGTTGTGGACAGGATACAGGAGATGGTCAGAGGCTGCAGACAGGATACAGGAGATGGTTAGAGGCTGCAGACAGGATACATGAGATGGTTAGAGGCTGCGGACAGGATACAGGAGATGGTTAGAGGCTGCAGACAGGATACAGGAGATGGTTAGAGGCTGCAGACATGATACAGGTGATGGTTAGAGGCTGCAGACATGGTACAAGAGATGGTCAGAGGCTGCAAACATGATACAGGAGATGGTCAGAGGCTGCAGACATGATATACAGGAGATGGTCAGAGGCTGCAGACATGATACAGGAGATGGTTAGAGGCTGTGGACATGATACAGGTGATCGTTAGAGGCTACAGACATGGTACAGGAGATGGTTAGAGGCTGCGGACATGATACAGGAGATGGTTAGAGGCTGTGGACATGGTACAGGAGATTGTGGACATCTTTGATTCTTTAAAATCTCACCAGGCACTGGCTCTCTAGTCTGGTAACTGCTGTGCCTCCTCAGTCCTCGTGTGGATATCTCATAGCAGCCATTAATGGATGGATCGTGCTCGGGCCTGGCCCCCTGGACTCCGTGCGGCAGTGCTTACAGTGGCGTGGTGGTGGGAGTCCTCACAGGCTCCAGCCATGGTGTAGGCCATGGTCCGGTCTCCAGGGCAGGAGGTGTGCTTGCTGATGTGTTGCCAAGTGCTGACTGCCATCCATTCATAAATGGCACTAGGCATCATGACGTCACTCACTCACAGCACATGCGCCCACCTGGCCAAAATCGGCCGAGCATGCACAGTTCCAATGTCGACCTACAGCCATATGCAAACATATGCATAAGCCGCAGTACCCATGCCAAGGGACCTCTGTTTATACTGCAGTCCTAACTCTAAAATTTCCAGAGTCTCCATTGTAGGATCACATATACATAAGAATGGATACGTTAAGAGCATGCAGGCCTGGAGGGAGCCAACCCCTCCTTAAAGGCACAGGAACGCACGTCCCTGCACCCAATCCAGCAAACTATACAAAAAAATGTCAACCACCCCAACCTATAGCTAGCCTTTACAGCAAGGTGCACATGGAAGGGCAACACACATCAAAAACAAACAAAAGATTTCCTAGCAAACTTACCAGCCAGCCTGCAAAACAACTGCAGACAATTTGTAAATATATGCATAAGCTGCAGTGCCCACGTCAAGGGACCTCTGTATATACTGCAGTCCTAACTCTAACATTTCCAGTCTCCATAATAGGAGCGCATACAACAATGGATAGGTTAAGGGCAGCTATGCCAGTGATTGTTGGATCTAGATACAGGATAGGTTACACTGGAATTGACAGGAGGACCTAAAGAAATCCAGCAGTTCCTGGCGCTACAATTAGAAAACCTGATCTGCCCATTTGTTCCAGGCATGTGACTGACAAGGTATTGACACCAGAGGATTGGCGTGGCAGCCAGGCAGCTAGCATTTTGAGAAGGAGGACAGCTTTGGCAGTCTATATTTCTATAACATCGAGGGAGGAAAAGGAAGAGTCACTTGCTGTGTGTTTCCATATTGGATAATTCATGGGGCTCTGGTGGGCAGACGCGTGTAAGTATTAGCAGCAGAGGTGGAGAGCTATGCTGTAAGTATGTTAAATTAGCCCAATTTGGTATATTTAAAGTGGTTGTAAACCCTTCCATATATCCAGTGAACTGGCTGGCTTCAGGTGATACACAGAGATTAAACAAATCCTCCTACATAAGTTGTACCTGTTTATCTGCAGTATTCTCTTTTTCACATCTGCTTAAAATGCTGAATTTATAAGCTTGTCTGAAAGTTCAGAAAAAAAGAGGTGAAGAGCTGAAGTTACACTCTCAAGAGCTCAGTGAGGAGAGCTCTCAGAGCTGCTTGGAGGGAAGAGACATCCCCCCCCTCCACACAGCACACAGGAACAGAGCTGAGGATTTCAATCTGCTGGAGGTCTCTCCCCTGTCACCATTTTTCTTTTGGTGTCAGGAAAACTTGTCAGACGTGATTCATGCTGATAGAAAGGGCTGTGAATCAGAGGGTACCACCAGTCCTCCTGTACAGGGCCCAGGCAGCTGGGTGAATCTGATGTGGGCAGGGAGGGTGATTGGCATGGCGGGGTGGGGGGCAATTACTGGAACCAATCCCCTCTATGGCCCTCTATGCAGCAGCTGAAATCTGGATTCTTCTTCTCTCACTCCCTCCCACTGACTTTCAGCTGCTGCAAAGAGAGCCATACAGGGCATCAGTTGAGGTAATTGCCCCCCCCCCCGGCCACACCCATAACCCTCTCTATGCACCATATGTTTCCCCTGCTGCCCAGGCCCCCCTGTGTGCCCCCACCACCACAGTGCTGCGGCTTCCCTCTTCTCCTTCCCACTGGCATGGCAGCTACAAGCACACAATAGGATTCTTCAGGATGGCTGGGGGGGGATGAATTTTGACAAAACATTCACTGCTGGTGAATCTTCCAGGTCCATCTGTAACTGATTTACCACCAGTGGTTTCTTTGTGAAAGTCACACTCACTAACTATGCTCCTGATACATTGTCTGAAGTTTCTGACTTGAACTCCTATGCAGGGTTATTTGATGGCGCTAGCAGTTCACTGATTGATTGTATGTATTTCCTGATCTTACCCGTCAAAAGGAAGAAAAAACTGCTGATCCTTCACTGACAATCACAGATCAATGGTACATGTAGCACGGAGGTGACAAATTAAAGGTAATTAAAAAAAAAGAAAATATTTGTCATACTGTTATGCCACACAATGATGAATCCTCACGTAAGACAGTATTGCTTTATTTTGCAGGGTGGAACTCAGAATCAAATATCTGTATTCGTAGTTTCATGATCCCTGGTTAAAAAAAAAAACAACACTGCTGCAATCTGCATTAAATCAATACGCGGTGTCAGGGGTTTACTTGTCTGCAGTCTTCACAGCTCAAGGCACAACACATGCAAATATCCATCTAACTTGCACAAAGGTGACATTATCTTCTGCATAATGTGCTGCAGGCAATTAGATGTTATTCCCCATTGCTTACCATTGTGGAATTCAGCTACCTGTATTCACATCATAATCTTCACAAGGGACAGCAACTCAGAGCATTAAACGTACACCGCAGTAAAAAATGAGAAGGAACAATTTAAAGGATGTGTCATGTATTTCCAGTTATATCAGGGGGTCCCCAAACAGATGTGGCCCTTTGCTTGCCTTTATCCAGCCCTTGGGGCACTATTCCTTTCACTTGGTAGGAGGCACTATTACTTCCACTGACACCAAAGACAGGACACTATACCTCCCATTAACACCAACAATGGGGCACTATTCCATCCACTAACACCAACAATGGGGCACTATTCCATCCAGTAACACCAACAATGGGGCACTATTCCATCCACTAACACCAACAATGGGGCACTATTCGTTCCACTGACACCAACGACGGAGCAATATTCCTCCCATTGATACCAACAATGGGGCACTATTCCTTTCACTTGGTAGGAGGCACTATTACTTCCACTGACACTAAAGACAGGACACTATACCTCCAATTAACACCAACAATGGGGCACTATTCCATCCACTAACACCAACAATGGGGTACTATTCGTTCCACTGACACCAAAGACGGAGCAATATTCCTCCCATTGATACCAACAATGGGCCACTATTCCTTCCACTGACACCAAAGATGGAGCACTATTCCTCCCATTAATACCAACAATGGGGTACCATTCCTGCCTGTCAATTAATCTAACATATTCTGTTGTTCTGTTTATTTGTTCTTGCATTTACTTACTCTTCAATAATACATTAATCTTATTGATTCTCAGGTAGCTTGTGGTCTATTTTCTGTGTACTATCATAGAGTGGTAGAACATTAATGCCCAAGCAGGGGCGGACTGACAACTCATGGGGCCTCCGGGCAACAGGGGATCATGGGGCCCCTGTGTCCTTGCCCAAACTAAGAAAGCCTATGAAAAAGGTACCAGGGGCATCTCATGGGGCCCCCTACTGACCCCGGGCCCTCAGGCAGTGCCTGAGTTTCCAAATGGTCAGTCCGCCCCTGTGTCCAAGTTACACAGGTGTAAGTAACCTATAACCAGGTGTGTTGGTGGGGACCGAGCAGGTTAAAGAGTCATAGCAGAGAACAGAAGACCCATCATACCAAGCAGCTCCTGCGGAGGTAGTGCTACACAAGCAGTAAGAGCCCATTAACACTATCATGGTGTGTTAACAAATGACGGTTGATACATTGTGCACCAACGTGCATTGCATTAAGGTATCCAATTCAACATGAATAGGCTGTCAATGCTCCAAAACCCACCAAAATGGTGCATGCACCATATCTTGAAGCTTGAACCATGACACACGCTAGTGTGATGCCACCCTATGCACTGTGCTACAACACGTGTCTACGGGCAAGGTGTGTTGGGGTGCCATTCACAAACAATTGCACCACAGCACATTACTGCACTGTGATAGTGAATGGACCATAAAGTGATTTAAGCAAGGCATCTCTGATATCTCTACATTTATGTACTGTGAAATAAAGATCGCAACAGAGACTTTGAAGTCAGATTTAGGTGGGTCTCTAACACTTACAACACCAGCAAACCCACATTGGGTAAATCTGCATGTTAGTGCCTACTGAGAAGGAAAGTGCTGCAGTTGTAGACCTGTCACAGATAAAAAAAATAGCAATAGCTTGTAAATAGCAAATATGAAAAATCCTTTTCTCGGGAAGGCTCTGGGCAATTTGCATAAGAGAAGACCTACCAACATATAAGTGTTCCTTGATTGTGTGAACTTTCCTTAATATTTGCATGTAAGTATCTTTTCCAGCGGGAGCAGAAGAAGATCGTTTTATTGACTTCTGTCGAAATTTTCCTTGACCAGCGGCTGCAGTCAGGGATCAGTGTATTCTGGCAGTGGTGGGCTTCACTGTCAAAATACAATGTCCCCGCGGGTGGATTCCTACATCCACTCTGTTAGTGTGGATGGAGTAATCTGTTAAGTTTTTACATTAACTGTGTATGGCCAGCTTTAGTTTTATCACTGGGTGAATTTCCTCTTTAAGGACCAGAATCGATGGGCTTTTGATCAAATCAGAACAGCTGGTCTCACCTTACTAGTCAATGGCAATGCAAAAACACCTTTTTGATGCAGCTTAAATGGAGATCAAATGCAAGTGAGAAGGAGGTCAGCTGCAGTTCAAATGCACCTGTCAATGACCTCTGGATCATCCCAGAAGCATCTCAAGCGCAAGTGGACTGTGTGTGAAAAGAAGATACATATGCCCATGTAGGCAGGTGCAGTCTGTACTCCCCACTGTTGATGGCGCTCAACCAAAGTGGCAAAAGAAGGAAGTAATGAGGAACTAGATTCCACTATGATTTCCTGCGATCAGCAGCCCTTGTGGTCTTCTTGGGTGACGGCAGAGCCTTTTTAAGGTTGTGGCTCCCTGATTTGGTGCGCATTGTGTGACTGGTTAGTGTAGGGGCAGGTTCCCCATCGGGCATGGACAGCAAACAATGTCAGGAAGAGGTTTCAGAGCAGTAGGGAAATTGTAGGGATTACGCTATCCTCTCTCAGGAAACCTTCCATTTGGGTGTGGACCAGCCAGGCCGCATTCCCACTCCTCGCTGCAGAAGCTGTCGGCATCATTGCAAGATAACGTTCCTCTGCTACAGTATGGAAGTGGCTCCAATTGGCTGTGTCTACCCACCGGGCTTAAATGTGCATTGTGTGACTTTATTAATACACTGTTTCCATTCACCTTGATCTCTGTGTTCAGCCAAGCTGAACCCTACCCACACCCATTTTCACAAACCCTTAAAGGGCTGGCCTGGCCATGGACTTTGACTGAAGACTTGCCAAGGACCTTCTAGAAGCCATTGAGTTCAGTTGTTCCAACCCAGCTTCTACAGAAAGACAAGTATACTTCTGACTGTAGCTTCCATGCCATGCTTTGAGATGAACTGATTGACATTCTTTGTGGCCTGAATGGCTTTTAATTTTTCCTCTGTGTGGCTGACAGTTAATTTTGGAGCAACCAATGACAAAAAGTTCTGCTTTTATATGAAAACTCAGTAGAATTTTGCTTGTGTCCAACTTAGATGTAAATTGGGCTTAGTATTTTAGAGAAGTCTTAGAATGCTGTACCTGGCCTGAAAACTACCTGCAGGAGATTTGTATATATTTAATTGTTTCCCTTTCCTGTGGATTAATTCCCCTACCGTTGATTTTCAAAATGTATATGTGACATTTGGTTTCCTGTCTGCAGACATTCTACAGGATGAAAACAGTTTATAAGATCAAAACAAAAGAAGGGAGTAACAAAAGGAACCTTTACATGGCTGAATTCCAGTACTCTATCATAGACGTTTCCCCACCATAGACTGTTACTTCCATCTCTAGCTGTCCCTGATACGGACCACATCTGCTAAAATACCCAGATCTGTTTTATGACTGAGATTCCCTCCAAGAAGAACAAATCCAGGTGCACTATACACCAATAAAGAGTTTCCACATCCATTTCCGTTATGTCGTTCTGTATTCTGTATGTAAACTGTACAGATGTGGTAAGTTCTGCAAAGTTCCGTTTTGAGGACTAATGGTCTTTTTGTAGGTTATACAATTTAAAGTTAATGTGACAGAGATGACTGGCTGGGAGAACAGTTAAAGGTTCTGTTTACACCAATGCAGTGCTGGTGCAGTTCCATGTGTTGCGTGTACAGCAGCCCATTAATATCAGTGGGCCTGCCCTATGCATTAGAAACGCTTGAAAGAAGTCCTTAACCCTTCGGCCTCATGTACACATGAACTCCCCAAGCCGTTTAGCTCTCCTCTCCTGACAGCAGAAAACGCGGCACAAATGCCTGCAAATGCAGTACTGCATTTATCCACGTTTAGCGCTTAGACGTTTATTCATTTGATTGGCCAGAGTATTTTCCATTGGCAGAAATAAATGCCCAAACGCTAAACGCATCTTGTATTTAGACATGTTTACACGCATTTCTGCCGCCTTTAGCGTTTTGTTGCCAAAATGTTCCTCCTCTGAACGCAATTCTTCTGTGTTCAGGAGAGTAACGTTTGACTGCTCCTAAACTCTGCTGCTCCCAAACTCTGGCAAAAGCCCATATGTACATAGACACATAGACTTTTACTGAGTTGAGTTCAGTGGCTTTCGCAAAAAAAAAAAGTCAAAAGCTCCTAAACTCACGTTTAGGAGCGCAGTGTACATGAGGCCTTAAGGAATCACACTGCATCAAAGTTAGGTATTGTAGCACCATGGGTATTGGCTTGTGCGAAAATGAGTGTGCATATTCCTGCAAAGTGTAAATAGAGCCTTAGGCTAAGTTCACATCTATGCAGGTGCGACAGAGTGTGTGCGTTTTTGTGCGTTTCTGGGTGTCGTGTTTAGGGTAGTCTATTGATTTTAATGGACTGCCCTATGCAAGCAAAAATGCATTAAAGTGGTAGTAAACCGCATCAAACAAACAACAAAAAAACACTCCCTGCAAGGCAAAGGCATAATGTGCTAGTATGCATTGCATACTAGCACATTTTGTGAAATTTACCTTAAAACAAAGCTCTCCAGTGCGCACTGTCATCGCTATAACGGCTTCCATCTTCTGGGCTCCGGTCATCTGACTATACAAAAAATGGCAACCGTCCCAACCTATAACCAGCCTTAGCCGTAAGGTGCACATGGAAGGGCAATGCACATCGCAAAGGATTTCCCAGCAACACTTACCAGCCTGCCTGCAATACAACCATTTTGGCCCTGTCTAACAGTTTGCGTTAAACACAGAGGGTTTTGTTTACACACATTTGCAAATACATGCATAAGCCACAGTCCCGCATCAAGGGTTCTCTGTATACCGTGGACCTAACTACAATTTCCGAAGCTTCCATAGTAGGAGCACATGTATCAATGGATAGGTTAAGGGCAGGTGTGCCTGGAGGAGCCCATTCCTCCTTAAAGGTACAGGGACGCATGTGACACCCAGCTATACCAAAATGACAGCAAAGGCATCCAGTACATCCCTGCATCCCAATTTGCCAACTACACAAAAAATGGCCACCGTCCCAACCTATAACCAGCCTTAGCGGTAAGGTGCACATGGAAGGGCAATGCACATCGCAAAAAAAAGGATTTCCCAGCAACACTGAGCCGTGATGATGTCACTCCCATGCATGCGCACGGGAATCACGAGCCACAGCCCATTGCTCTGAAGAAGGAATGGCATGGGTATGCTGTTCCTTCAGAGCTCATGCGCCAACTAAAGAACCCTCAAATATCTCCATATATTCAAATATTCATTTTACCTACAGGTAAGCTTTAATATGAGCTTACCTGTAGGTGAAAATGAACAAAGTGGGTTTAATACCACTTTAAGGCTCCATTCATACCATGCAGGTGTGACAGATAGTGAGCACCTTTTCACGCATCCTTGCGCTTCGCTTGTAGCCGGTTCATTTCACTGGCCTGTTCTACACTCGAGAAACACGCAAAAGAAGTTCCCGGCCCTTCTGAAAAATAGTGCTGCACCAAAAAGGCATGGTGCTGCAACTGGTGCATGGGGGTGCCAATAAGAATTATTGGCACAGTTGCACATCCGCTAAAGGGTGGGCACGCTTCTGTTCATGTTGGGAAAGCATGCATTTTTGTACGCATTCCTGACATGCACAAATTGTGAATGTAGCCTAAAGAAGTACATGAACCTTTTGAGAAAACATGCTGTACCAAAACTTTTTACCAACTTTGTACTTTGTTACAATGCGCTTTGGTGCACGAAATATGAGCACGGTGATAGATGCGTAGGGGTTCCATTAAAAATTAATGGCACTTCTTCAAAAGGGCCGCATTTTTTGTGCGCTACAGGAAAGCACGTGATTTTGCACGTGTTCCTGCAGCGCATAAACATGAACCTAGCCTCCTAG